TTTTGGATCCGTTTCTAAGCAATTGGAAAAGAAAGAATCATAAATTGGCCAATTGATGGAATTTTGGGAACTAATATGCATTTGAGTAAAAGTGGAAGTAATTTGACATGGAGGGTCAAGATGGAAGAAAGAATGAAGAAAATGACTGAAAAGAAAATTTACGAAAGTTTTATAATTGGGCAGCGGCCTAATTATATTTGTTGGGCGGCCGCTCAACCCTCCACCAAATTAACATGAACCATTTTTTATGCCCGGGCGATCGCCCCATTTTCTATTGGGCGCCCACCCAGGCCAAATCGAGAAAAAATTTTCTGATTTCCTAATTTGATTCTAACTCTTATGGAAACAAATCTTGGGACGCCTTTTAAAACCCTAAGGCTGTCTAGAAGTAAGAACCACACATTATAACAAAATTTGAAGAGCTTTTGGAGCAGAGAAGAAGCCAAGAACACAAAAATTGAATCCAAGAATACAAGAATCAATTCAAAAATTCTATTTGGTGACGTCGATTCTTTAATATTCTTTTCGTTTTCTCTTTCATAACATACTAGATTAGTTTTCTATGTGCTAGGAGAACGACAAAACATGTAATATGAGTTTTTAATTTTTAGTTTTATATATTTAAATTAAAAATACATTTTTGATATTGAATGATTTAAATGATTTTATTTTCTGCACAATTATTGTGCACGGTAGTCGTGTGAATGTGGTGACTTATTTTATGCATTCGAAAGAAAGAAAATAAGTTCGACATATATAAATTATCATTGGGTTCGATAGGGGATATAAATATACCGCTATACCTTATGTGAATCTTTAAGCGTTCATAAAAATTTATACATTTTTATGTATTCGCATTCATCATAGAAATATAATTGGGTCATATATCAAAGTAAGTTTAATATTACTCGAAAGAGATTGTTAAATAAAATAGGAACAATGATTCGTCAAAATTCAATCGTGTTGTCAATGTGTAAAACTAGAGTTAAAAATGATTATTGCATGGGAATTCAGGATCCTAGTACGTTTGTCATTTATTAAACACATTGATTTGCATTTAGTTTAGTTAATTCACTCATAATTGCATAAGTAGATCAATTTAGGTATAATCTAGTCATAAACACATTAATTTGTGGGACGATACTCGAATTCAAAAAGTCTACTTTATTACTTGTTAACGAATCTATACTTGCAGTGATTTTAATTCAAAATATATTTTCGTGAACAAGACATATAAAATTAAATAAATGTCTTTTCCTTCTAGTTTTATTTTTTACCCTTATGTGAATCTCTTGTGTTTTTGCTACAAATTTAAAGCTCATCAATGTGGAACACCATTTTGCTGACCAACCATGGGCGGATGTGGGGGAGCCCAATGCAGCCTCGGCCCAGAATGGAATTTTGTTTGTAAGTTTTTTGAAAAAAAGAATGGTAAGAGTTCAACAGTCAAGGATTAACTATACACAATTCAAAGATCA